TGATTTCACAATCACTAAAAGCTGGCACTACAGTGAGACGAGTGGTCACATTCATGCTTTGGCAGTTTTAGTCCAGGAAAAATGGTTTCTATCTAATGAATAAGAGGCTGGCTGAGCCACAAAATTAGCCTGAATATGGTAGGAAAAACTGAACGACAAGGATCTGATGCAATGGGCAGTACCTCACGTCTTATATGAGAGGCCCTGAGCTTAAATCTATTCCTGAGTGGACGATGAGATTTTTCATGGGGTTCCTCAGTCCCTCCAGATATACGTAGAACCTGTTTCCTTCCCTCCTTCCTTCATCTATCACTTGCCATGCTTCCTGTGATTTCCTCAATAAAAATGGTACATTACATCTTTATGCCCCCATGTTCCATTCCAGCATTACTCCATCTTCTTGGAAGGAAATCGAGTGTTCCAAAACTTACATGCTGATGTATAGCAATGAATTCCTTCATACATGATAATAATGCAACATCTTACATTGAAACAGCAGAGTCTACATTAAATTAGCATACAGCTAAATAGCTAGTCAGTAACATAACACTATCCACTGTTGTGACAGTGCAATATGATTTTCTTATGAGGAAGGAAACTGACTTGAACTAAACTTATGCATGTAAAGGCAAAATTAAAGACATTTCCAAGTTTCCCTTCCAAAAATGAACGTTTCTGTATTCACACTTATCCACCATCATTATTAGTTTCTGTGATACAGAATGTGATGACCAGAACAGGAGTACTGTGAATATATAATCACACCACGAAGCGAAATGTCATACCACAGATATAGGCACATTCAAATGAATCATCCACTGTCTGATAAGAAACACTGAACTAGATTTTTAATCATTCCATCTCTAATGAAGTCACAAATTTGTCCCTTTGCTATTGTTTATGTTCCTTATTTCTTTTCCATTTACCACAAGGGCACGCAGTAGCATAGTTGGTTGGGGCACTATGCTACAAGCTGGAAGGCCGTGGGTTCAAGTCCTGATGAGGTCACTGGATTTTTTTTTCAATAGACCTAATCCTTCCAGCCACACTATGGCCCTGGGGTCGACTCAACCTCTAACAGAAATGAGTACCACAAATTTTCCTGGAATATTCTTGGGGGTAAAGGGCGGACGGCACATACGGCTGACAACCTTGCCGTCTTCTATAAGCCGATTGTTCAGAAAATGTGGCAACCTCAACATCTCACAACCCTATGGGCCTCCACGGCCTGTCACAGGGATACCTTTACTTTTTACTTTTACAAGGCCTCAAAGTTCCAATATACAATACTGCTTTTATAAATGTGCACATGTTCCCATTTAGTTACAATGTCCTACAGTCTTTCACTTAATGTACGTAAGCAATGGAGAAACAGACAATATACCCTTTTCTCACATCACATTCAAGTTTCCCTTAAGAGTTATGCCCGAGGTCCATGATTGTCATATGATCTTTGTATCAAGTGCATTGGAAAAGATCTGGGACCTGGGCAAGTAAATATGCCATGTTGCACCTAAATGTTCACTGAATTTGACTAAATTAACCATAAACTTTAAACACTGTCAGATGTGAAGACAACTGTCTTTTGGGATATGATTCCATCTCCTATAAAAAAACTTCCTACCAACAAAAAACAAATAGGTAACAACAACAAAGTTCAAAAAGGAACTGAAGGAATTACTTATTACCGCATGCTACTGCTCAATATATAATTATCTCAAAGAAGAATTCCGTCATATTGTCTGCTGATATGCAGATGCAGAGAACAAGATATAATAATTTTATGCCATAATCATTAGTGTATTTCAATAATAATACATATGAACATGTCCTAAATCATTGTATTTTGATCTACAGGATAAAATAAAAATGAATGAATGAATGAATGAATGGAATAAATGAATCAACATTTTGAATAAACATACTGCCTCATTCTTCAGGGCAGTCACTCTTCTACCCTGAAGACTAAGGAAACAAGTTCCTGTAAAACTCTGACATCTACCTACCAAGTTACAAGATATCAGTGCCTTCTTTACTTTCCATGTTATTTAACAATGTTTTTAATACCTACACTATTAGCACTGACTGGATGGATGACAAATTGAAAAGAATTTGGAAGGAAGCAAAGTACTATCCCAGCATTTGTCTGAAAGGATTGCTAAAAACCAAGAAAGATATCACTTGTGTTAGTCCATTTCCCTACTAAGATTCAAAACAAGCACCTCCTGAGTATGAACCAACTGCACTACAGTTACATCAACTTGTTTCTTGCATCATACCCCATAAGAAGGCAATCTGCATATAGTCATCACATGAAAAATTTTATCAAATGCAGAAGAATGATATGGTGGGAAAATGATACATATAATTCAGTTTTATGTTTAAATGTGTACTTCTGTTGAGTTCATACTAAAACAAAGGCTAAAACATTACATTTGAACATGGTCTGTTAGGGAATACTAGATGTTAGCTTAGAGTAGCACTCAAACAAGTTGTAACCTCTTCTGACACATGTGCAGTTCCAGTTCTGCCCACCTGAAACTTCTGATGGGGCCACAGTGTAAATCAACCTTACTGCATGTAAATATGGAGTTTTTGAAATTACAGCAATGATTCATTAAATGACTAACGTAAAAGGGAACTGACAAATGGCTGTTTGCAAATAGATATTGGCTGTGTATGGTGATACTGAACGTCCAAGATGCCAAACAAAATATTCATCTAAACACTCAAATGGGATAGAAAATCCATTAAAGATGACCTTCAACTTAGTAGGCCAGTGAAAGTGACTAATAAATAAATGTGTCAAAAGAAGAAGACCTGGTCACGCTGGACAGGTGTTTAAGTGTATCTGTGATTGCTTGAGAATGCAGTGTGTTGATCATTTGTTTTGGCCATCTTCCATAACTGCCTGGGCAAACTGAAAGTGATATTTCAGGTTCTCACAATGGTGCTTATCAGCAGTATGGTCTTCTGAGTTGTAACACTGTGCAGTTTGGCGAAAGCCCAACATTTCAGAAATTATATGATCCCCCATGTCATCACTCTCTCCAGATTGCTTGGCATTACAACCCAGGAGGTTCCACTCTTCAAACTGAAGTTCAGTTTTTGTTCATTTCAAATGTAATGGGGGTTCAATTTGCTGAGAATTCTGGGTCTTCATGAAGTAGATTCAGGTACATTTCTCATAAGAATCAATACACATGATGAAACATAGACCCATGAATGAGACACCAACAGAAAATGCATGGATTCATCAATAGGATACTAAAACAAAATATGGTCCATGCAATAGAAACATTTCACCCATTTACAGGAAATTCTAGAAACCATTGTTGACTGTAAAGATCATGGCCAATGTGTCTTAGGGCTGGAACTGCTTTGGAATTTAAAGGAAGTCTTCAAGAGAAACAACAAGGGAAGGTGACAAGTGTTGTCCTGCTTCTTCATGACAATGCTCATTTATACAATTCACAAACAGCACTTACTACCATAAGGAACTGTGGCTATGAACAAGTAAACCGACAACCCTAGAGTCCAGACCTGGCCTCCAGTAATTACTTCCTATTATAAGGCATGAAGAATCAATTGAATGGATGTTGGTTTCCAAGTGATGATGAATTTCAAGGCACTGTTTCAGAGTGTTTTAAGGAGCACGAAAATAACTTTAATTTTTCTGGGATTTCTTATCTCCTGCTATTCTACCTAGACTCTCTTAGGCTGGAGTTTTGATGTCTTATTAATATTTCTCAAGCCCTACCAATATCCAAACTACCATCCCAGTTTGCCAAAGTTGCAAACAAACCTCAGATTTTAATTCACAGTGTTAACATCTGTGTTAGTTTCTTAAGACTGTATCTCTCCATACCAAACTTCCACATTTTTTAGTGCTTACTGGCTGTTTCTCAACGATCAATATCTGTTGCAACTTTCAGGTAGTGACTGGTTCCAAAGCCAGCTACTCTGAGAGATCACACATCAAGCAGGTTGTCCCCGACTACTTCAGTTTCCCCTGCCAATCCTCATTCCATCAAATTCTCCATAAGCATTATCACCAGTACAGGTACAATAGGACATATGGAAGCCGACGTGCCAAGGGGACTTAATATGGATTCCACCTCACACTATACGAACTCTTAATTATTGTAATCTACTATAATCTACTGTAAACAATTGTTGTATTGTAACTTTATTCTCTTATTGTAATCAGCCAATGTACAGTAACTGACTTGTCCTATATCATGTAACAATGATCTATAGAGACGAAATAAATAAATAAAATAAATAAATGCCAGCTTTTCTTTATCAATGTGAGATCTGCCAGATTGTGTATCTTCTCATCAGAAGTTCAAGTTAATAATTCACCCATTTATGAGTTGATGAAATATTTTGCCTTTGGGAATCACTAATCTTCACACATACTTAAACACTCTATAATTTACAACATTAATACTTGAACCCATCTTCAAAATATGCACGGAGTTCAATGAAATTTATCGAGTTACTTTAATGGATTTAATTGCAGCCAAGTCTTCTATCATACTGTCACTGGTTATACTGAGGAAAACTTATATAATAAGTAATATACGAAGAAGTGTGGTGAAACCGATGATGTGGGAGCTCAACTTAGAAAGTACTAACGTGACTTGTGGAAACTACTAGTATTTCAGCAAATACCAGTAACTAATTAGACAGCAATGAGAGTATCTTAACAAACTATTACAACATCTTTAATTATTCCCTGTAATGCTTTAAGGAAAAACAACGAAATTACTAACCTCTAAATTAAAATGATTAATATCATGTGCAAATAATGAAGAAAATCCGATATATCACACTTAATTAGAGTTAGAAACATCAAAAAGTTGCAACTTCGCATCATCCTTCAAATCATCTGAAGTCACGTTGGAAATAATATAATTTGCCCATAATAATCGGAAATATTTAATTAATTTGGATTCAGAATGGGAGCCATTTTCTTTGGTGGAATAACAACTTACCAATTTTCAATTGTGGATCACGTCTGAAGAGGATTGTATTCCTCCATATATATCTTCTGTCACTTCTGAATCACGCACATGTCTTTCGTACATACATTCGGTATAATTTCACTCACAAATCATTTAGTGTCGTTACCGTTGTGGCAAACCGAATACATTTCGACAATTGATACCGTGCGCTTCCTTCTCGCGCATTTGTCAATGAAAACGCTTATCGTTCTGATGGTTCTGATGAAAGTATGGCCACATTGATGTATATGTATGGGCTAAAAATTAGTATGTTGGGATATTATTATAGTGACCTTAGTAAACTACCTGTAAAGATACGCAACTCAGGTTCTTCCTTATATGAACGTAAATAACACAAACCTACCAAATGCACAGACCATAGAGGTACTATAAAAACTGTTTCATCCATCTCCATCTATTGATAAAAACATAACCTTCATAAGTATTCCATGAAGTGTCCATGCACAGTCGGAGAAACAGCCCACTATTATTGCAGACTCATATGGCAATATGTGCCATCATTGAACTATATATATATATATATATACACACACACACACACACACAATAAAAAGCCGCTTTTCACTCATCATCCTGACTGACAATTTCACAAACCACTGAAAACATTTAGTTAGGAAAAATATGTAATAGGTCAGTCTACACAACAGTTCCAAAAAACAAAGCAGTCCAGTAGGAACAAGACGCGTTTACAAAAATGCTTAGAAGTTAGATTTCGAGCACAGATCCTCGGACTTGGTGACTGCATACATGAATATCATGAAATAATTTTATTTTCGTAGGTGACATATATTGCGTTAAGCAAGTTGTTGAACCCTTGTTCATCGATCCTTTCTTCCTGTACCGAATTGCATATCTAGTTGTCTTGGTTTAGAGACGTCCGTAAATCACTTGTTTTATGCTTTCGCGAAAAATAGATCGCTTTACTGAAATGGTAACTTGGCTCATCATCACGACCATCACGACATCTCCCGGACCCGTCAATGTACCATTAGCGGGAAATGAGCCCATCTTCAGCACTTCCTTGTCTAATCTGAAATGTGGAAACAATGTAATATTCGTGCATTTGTATTTTGATTTAATTTGTACACACTGTACCAATTAAATGTATATAATGTGTGTTTCCAAACACATTACAAGTGCACTTATACTTCGTTCTCGTGCATAGAATGAGTGCAAATTAATTATTTGTCATTTTCAAACTGAAAATGTTGGGAAATTTTATTTGATAAGTATGTCGTTCTGGAAGGAAATTTAGAAATGGAGAATTGTTTTGTGTAATAAGTGTCCGTGGATATTTGTTATGGTTGTGTTTCTTTCTTTTCTAAAATAAGGTGTCAGAATTAAAAAGGAATGGCCGAAAGTAGACCCGTGGAAGGAACTGAAGGGGACAAAAGAACTCTGGGAACAGAAAACATAGGTAGTGATTAATACAAATTATCCTCAAGATGGTTTGAAACGTTGGGAGTAAGGACTTTGCTTGTGAAGTGTTAATTCTTGTGAAAGTTACACAATAAGAATTTAGCGATCTTCGAAAGCATTTATATGATTTAATATGTGCAACTGATGTGTAATTAATAACTAACGTATTTATTTCCATTTATGGGTGCTTTGTCTTTGTTTTCAGGGTCATCGATTCCTGAATGTGCAGTGTGCTTGCAGACCTGTGTTCACCCTGCACAGTTGCCTTGTGGTCACATATTTTGCTTTCTGTGTGTGAAGGGTGTAGCAAATCAGAGCAAGAAGTGTGCAATGTGTCGCCAGGAAATTCCAACAGATTATTTTGAAAAACCTGTCCTAGTAGCACAGAATAATACAGACAAAGACAGTGCAGGATTTGATGGTGGCTATCAGTGGTTTTATGAGGGAAGAAATGGTATGTATTTGAGTCAGTTGATTTAAATACACCTCTTGAGGAGCTCAGCAGATTATCAGTTATATGTATTAATATTGCAATATTACTATCGCCTCTGTGGTCTAGTGGTCAGCGTTCTTGACTGCAGATCCAGAGGTCTGGGTTCGATTCCCGGCGCTACCAGATTTCTTCGGAGAAGTAGTGTGTCTGGAACGGGGTCCACTCAGCCTCATGATGATAATTGAGGAGCTATTTCAAGGAAATAGCGGCTTCGGTCTAGAAAACCGAAATTAATGGCCATGGGGATTCATTGTGTTGACCATGCGACACCCTCTATCGGCAAAAGTTGGCACTAAGCTTCGCGTCGCTCGCTCGGTCAGTATAGTTTGTGTGCGGACTGAAATCATGGAGTTTTTTTTTAGTACATAAAATTGGGAGTCCATTTGGCTTCTCAAATGAGCTTGCAGCGAACAGTAAGAACAAGAACATCGGACACCTGTGTAGAGGAATAAATGAGTTTAATAGGGGTTAGCTACCTGGAAGTAACTTCGTCAAGGAAGAGAATGGATATCTGCTTTCAGATAACCACAGTATTTTGAATATGTGGAAGAACTAGTTCTCTCTTATTAAATGTACATAGGGTCAGTGATGTTAGGCAGATAGGAGTACATACAGCTGAGCCATTAGTACCTGATAATAGCCCTTTTGAGGTTGAAATTGTTATTGCAAAGTTGAGAATGTATAAATTGCTGGTTAGTGATCAAATTCTGGCAGAACTGATTCAAGCAGGAGGTAAAACATTACAGTCTGAGACCCAGTAACTCAATAATTCTATTTGGAATAAGGAAGAATTGCCTGATCAGTGGAAGGTGTCTATTATTTTACCAATTCACAAGAAGAGAGATAAAACTGACTTCAGTAATTATTGTGGGATATCACTGCTATCAACTTCATACAAAATTTAATCCAATATCCTTCTCTCAAGGTTAATTCCATGTATAGATTAAATTATTGATGATCATCAGTGTGGGTTTCAACATAACAGATCAATTACTGATCATATTTCTTGCATGCATCAGATCCTGGAGAATAAAATGAAAGTACAGTGATACAGTACTCGTACATTAGCTATTCATGACATAAAGATAGCTAACAGATGCTCTGAAAATGTGGCACAGTTCAGATATTTGGGAACAACAGTGGCAAATCAAAATTTGATTCAGGAGGAAATTAAGAGGAGATTGAATTTGGGTAATGCTTGCTACCAGTCAGTCCAGAACCCTTTTCTTCTTGTTTGCTGTCTAAAAACATAAGAATTAGAATATACAAAACTAGTATAATTTTCACTGTGGTTCTGAAAGTGTGTGAAACTTGGTCTGTGACATTAAGGGACAAATATAGACTGAGGGTGTTTGAAAACATTTGGACTGAAGAGAAGTGAAGTGACAGGAGGTTGGAGAGAACTGCATGATGAGGAGATTGTACTCTTCGCCAAGCATATTTAGAATAATCAAGTCAAGGAGGATGAGTTTGGCAGGGCTTGTAGCAAGGATGGGGGAGACGAGGAATGCATATAGGATATTAGTGGCAAAGCCAGAAGGAAAGGGACCACTAGGAAGACCAAGATGTAGATGGGTGATTAATATTAAATTGGGTCTTAGAGAAATAGGATCGGGTGGTATGGACTGGATCGATCTGGCTCAGGATATGGACCAGTGGAGGGCTCTTGTGAACACAGTAATGAACCTTTGGGTTCCACAAATTGCTGGGAATTTCTTGAGTGGCTAGTTGGTCGGTTAATTATATTGCTGTCCTGCAGCTTTTTTTCTTTTCCTGAAGGTGTTTGTCACATCCATATGAAAGTTCCAGTAAGTACAGTCTGTGCAATGGTCACCTAATTATGTCTACTTACTGTGGTAAAATGTGTCATGGTTATGTAAATGAAAAGAATAAAGTGTGTGCGTACACGCATGCATGCGTGTGCACACACACAGACATAAATTCAGTGAATAGTGTAGGAATTAGATTGGTTTGTGTTTGGCACAGTGCCTATAGCCTGTATGCATTTCAGTTTCTCTCCAGTATGTTGCTGAACAGCTACCACGAAACGAGCTTATGCACTATTGGGTTGAAATGTCACGTGTTACACGCAGAAACAGTGAGTTTTCGTGTACAGCACCCATCTGAAGAGTAGGGAGAAGAAGCTGGTGTACATCTCTGGATGTAACGGTTTCACATATAAACACCAGTGATGCACTTGCAAATTAATTAAGATGCGGCCATTATTGGATTAGGGAGGAACAGAATCAAAATGCTAAGTGTTCATCTAAGTGAATTAGATGAAATTGGTGGTATCATTGAAAAATTTTCCCCAGATTTCTGCTTTTTATGAAGGTGCCAGGGATATATGAAACAACAGGGAGTATTTCTGTCATCTGGTATGATCTGCAAGGGCTTTGTTTGAAATTTGTAGGCCTGTGGGCTTATCCATTGCATTGTGGGTCCAAGTGTATGCACGCTCCTTAGGCTGTTCAGTGTTTTGACTGACTTGACAAATAAATGTTGAGCATTTAAAATGAAAAGAGTTGAGTTATGATGTCAAAGAAAGCAAAGTAAATTGGAATACATGATATCACAAATGGGGCCATATACACAGCAGTAATATCTACAAATGTAAACTAAGACAAATTCTTACTAATCTGTCACCATTCCTTTATTGTGCAAAGGTGTTCCGCTATGTGCTTCAACCTTCAATAGTTCCTCATCCAGCGTACAAGAATTCAGCTTTAGTTCTTGAAATGGATTGTCACGTGTATTAGTGACTAAGACACAGATCTTAAAGTCTTCAACACTTCAATTCTAATCTTTGTTTGTAGCCTCCAGGACTGTGCTATTGGATTCCGTTTGTCAGCCCGTTATCTTAGTTACTTTTATAATCTTCTCTTGAACTGCACTCCGCACTTGTCTCTGAATTGCCTTGAACTGTCCTGTCAACTCAACTGCTGAACTGTGGAACTCCAGGTATCAAAGTCAAAGTCACATTGTGACTGATGGTCAGTCAGTCATGACGAGATATTTACTACTGTTTGACAGTTATGGTCTTTTTTGGGGGGGTGGGGTGCCATCTCTGATGAGAGGACTGGTCTGTCTTTTGTATATGCTGCTGGACCTTGCCAGCGTAGTCTTTCTCGGGTGTAAGCCTGAATCTCATTTTATGACCAACGGCCAGTCTGTCTTGGCATAAAGCACCCATCTGGGGCTTGCAACCAGATCTTTATTACTGTTTGACAGTTTCGGTCTTGTTTTTTGTGGGCACCCTCTCTGACAAGAGGAAGGGTCTGTCTTATGTATATGCTGCTGGTCCTTGCCGGCACAGTCTTTCTCAGGTCCTAGACCGTTGGTACTTGAGACCGTTCAATACTGTCTCAAATTTGAGACTTCCCTTTTCATTACCTCCTATGACTTGCAGGGTCACGGTGGAGGTATTTGAACCCGTCTCCACACAGGCCAACCTCAGATACAAAGTCAAAGTCACCTTGTGACTGATGGTCAGTCAGTATGTCTTGGTGTTGAGCCCCATCTGGGGCTCATAATCAGATATTAATTATTACCATTTGACGGTTACGGTCTTGTTTCTGTGGGGGCGCCCTCTCTGATGAGAGGATGGGTCTGTCTTTTGTATATGTTGCTGTTCCTTGCCAGCGCAGTCTTTCTCAGGTCTGAGTCCCTTGGGACTTGCGACCATATTTTACTGTCTTAGAGTTGAGACTTTCCTTTTCGTCGCCTCCTGCAACTGACTGGTTCACAGTGGAGGTATTCGACCCCACCTCCACATGGGGTCTCAGATACCAGAGTCAGAGTTACTTTACAACTGGTGGTCTACCACCAATCGGTTCGTCTTGGCGTCAGGCCCCTTGAGGCCCATGACCAGAGATTTTTTTTTGCAACTGAACTCTTGCGGTAATAGTCCTTATGTAACATCTTCTCCTCCGAGAAGATCTTGGATACAAGTCTGAGTCCCATTTTACGACCTACGGTCAGTCAGCCAGTCTGTCTTGGCATAAAGCACCCACCTAGGGCTTCTGACCAGATCTTTATTACTGTTTGACCGTTACAGTCTTGTTTTTTNTTTTTTTTTTTTTTTTTTTTTTTTTTTTTTTTTTTTTTTGTGGGCACCCTCTCTGATGAGAGGACAGGTCTGTCTTTTGTATATGCTGCTGGTCCTTGCCAATGCAGTCCTTCTTGGGTACAAATCCCTTGGTACTCGAGACCATATATTATTGTTTCAAATTTGAGACTTCCCTTTTCGTCGCCTCCTACAACTTGCAGAGTCATGGTGGAGGTATTCGAACCCACCTCCACACGGGCAATACAAGTCCATGTCCAAGTCACATTGCGACTGACAGTCTGCCAGTCAGTAAGTCTTGGTGTCGAGCCCCGGTTGGGCTCATGACCAGATATTTATTAGTGTTTGGCATTTACGGTCTTGCTTCTGTGGGGCGCTCTCTCTGATGAGAGGACGGGTCTGCCCTTTGTATATGCTGCTGGCCCTTGCCAGTGCAGTCTTCTAGGGTCTGAGTCCTTTGGGACTCAAGACCATATTTTACTTTCTCAGATTTGAGACTTCCCTTTTCGTTGCCTCTTACGACTCGCAGGGTCACGGTGGAGATATTCGACCCCACCTCTGCATGGGGGGGCAATACAAGTCCCTGTAAACCTCATTATGTAGCCTCTGCACAGACCATCTAGAAAACAGCCTCTGTTGTTGACGAAACTTGTTTACTGCTTATTGCCTAGCAGTAGATATCTGATGTTGTAATGTACCCAGGTGAAGGTTGTTTACAGGTCTGTTGCCTGGAAGTGGAAAGCCTTTGCCTATTGTTGCCAAAGAATTTTTCTTTGCAGGAACTTGTTTACCTAGCTGCTCCCTGCCAATGGATATACATGTTACAGTACTTTAATAGGGATGCATATTATTACAATTTGTTTTATTTTTGGAAGCAAATACTACCTTTTTGTTAAATATATCTAATAATTACACAAAAAATAATATATTAGTATAGTTTATAATTCTGTTTAGGTATAATTTATTGTGTGAATTTACCTTTATGTGTGTGTATTTGGGTGTTTTGTCCTAAGCAAGTTCTATTAAAGTAAATATTTGCGTTATAGTTCAGTAACTTAAGTTTTGTGTTCATGTATTTGTTTATCCGATGTGCAAGTCTAGCATGGACAGTCTTTATGGTATGCATCCTGTTGTATGTCTCGATATCACAAATGGGGCACTCTACACAACAATAATATCTACAAATGTAAACAAAGACAAATTGATACTAGTGTATCACCATTCTTTTACTGCGCAAAGGTGTTTGGCTACATGTTTCAGCCTTCAAGAGGTCATTATTTTCTGTTCATCATAATAAATGAGCTATCCCTCCTCAATCTTAGTAGATTTTGCAATTGGGTCAGCATGTTTTCAGTCAGTATATGGTTAGGAGGTGATGTACTAACTTACTTATGGAGCTGAGCCCTTCTTGAGGAGAAGCCAAATCTGCAGCTACTCAAGAATTTCCCAGCATTTTATGGAAGCCAAAGGTTCATTACTATGTTCACAAGAGCCCTCCACTGGTCCCTTTCCTGAGCCAGATCAATCCAATCCATAACATCCCGTTCTATCTCTCTAAGGTCCATTTTAATATTGTCCACTCATAAGAGACGATGTGGCTGATGGAATTGTCTGTACCATTTCCTTTAGTATATCTTGAAGTTGGACCTTTCTTTTATTTTTTCATAAGTCCACGCCTTGATTTATGAATTCCTGTCCCCTAGGTTGGTGGCTGTATGACGAACGCACAAGTATGGATCTCGAGGAAATGTTTAAACTTGGAGAATCAAGTTGTGAGATGCTTATATGTGGGACTCTATATGTGATTGACTTTAAAAACTCTCAGCAATACAGGAAACGTGAACCTACAAAAAAACGAAGAATCAAACGTGATCTGAAAACAGCTGAAAGTAAAGGCATTGCCGGGCTTCGATGAAAGATAGTAGAAATGTGAACATTCATGCTTGAGCATGGCTTTAGTAAGAAATAGGAAGAGCCAAAATTTGGATAACCAAATATCTGTTAAACAGACAGTGAACAAATGTCTTGAACAATATTTCAGAATTTTATTTGGCAGTAAACTGTTTGTTTTATGTTCATTACCAAACTACAGATTAAACTGGTTTGTTCTCTGATCATAATTTGTATTGTTATTGACATTTAAAGTAAATGTACTTTAAAATTCTAGTTTAGAAACTCAGACTTAGGCTATGAATGTTTTATTCAGACCTCCAATCGATGGTTTGAATTTTTTATTTGATGTCTTTTTCTTACAGAGGCATATATAACCATGTAGTTGTTTGCCTATGAACCCAATAATGGTAAGAGTAATTATTGATTTGTATAAACAAGGTTTAAGAATTTTTTATAATTTTACATGTATCAATTATGCAACTGTGAGGTGACCCAAATTTTTATATTAAGTAATACGTCTTTGAAATAAGTTGAATACTGACCGCAGGTTGCACTGGTCTTACTAAATCTGTGGCTCTTTGCAGGATGGTGGCAATATGATGAGCGCACAAGCCGAGAACTGGAGGCAGCCTACAAGAAAGGGGAAAGGATATGTGAACTTCTTGTGGCAGGTTTGCTGTACATTGCCGATTTTGATGCAATGCTTCAAATACGAAGAAATGACCCTTCCCGTCGCCGACGTATTAAACGTGATCTTGCCACAATCCCAAAAAAGGGTGTTGCTGGTCTACGATTGGAAGGCTACCAGCAGGCATTAGGGGAGCAAGGTGAAGAAGCCCGGTCAAAGAGTCCTGCCCTTCAAGGGACTACTGATGGAGCCATGACCCCTACCCCAGTTCCACCAACGAACACACCCCAGACTCCAGCTGGAGGAAATGCCAGTGGAGATACAACACCAGATCAACAAGAGTCCCTTCACAGGGCTGTTGAACAGATTAGATCACTTAGTTTCAGGGATGATGTTACTGCTTTGGATGATAGTGATGGAGGTGAAAGAGGGAGTGGGGATGAAGACCAAGAACTGCCAAACTTTTCAGGGGTTATACCCCCACCTTGGGTGCTTACCTTTTCCTCAGATGAGGATTTGCTGTGATTTGCTTTCACATATTACTGTCTAATATTTTGTTGAAAAACTGATAGGGTGTTTGTGTTTCAAAATGATTGTAGTGTTGACATATTGTAATTCTGTCATATTCAGCTAACTTTAGAGAGAGGTGTTTATTGTATTTTAGCAATTAAAAATTGAATTTTGATATCATGCTGTGCCAGGTTTTATACACAAGTAAACTTACAATCTTAGTGGTAGTGTCACAGTACAAGATTGTGGTGTAAGTGCAGTTGACCTCTGATAAAAATGTTTGTTGATGGAAGTTCCGATTACAATAATTTTTTCTTGTATTCAGGAATGATGGAGTTAATAAACTGAGGAGTGTCTTAAATTTAACAGAGATAACAGGGTTAAAACCACATTGCTTGACATCATAAAATCATAAATTAAGCAGCGTCACGTGAGAATTTCACTGTAAGTTATGTTTTCTCCAGCCACAGTACCATTTATTGGAATGAAAACTAAAATAACTTGCAGGACTTGAAGTTTTCACAGTGGTGACTGATGAGTTCCATCTTCTGGGATGTAACTTTGTGCACTGCTATAGAAGTTGACCTCCTACTAAATCACTTGGTGGTACATCCCAGAAGATAGTACTCTTCTTAAAATAACTAGTTTTACAGAAAGTAAAATAATTTAAATATAACATCAGAGGCAAGAGGTTACCTACCAAAAAGCAATTGTGTGGGTTAAGTTTTATACCTCAGAATGTGTGTGCATTGTTAATACAGTTATTAGTGGTGAATGATGAAAAAGCAACTTCATAGGCTGATTCCCTGCAACAGTATTTCAGCAGGTGCTAGCACATGGGAAATGATCACCTCCAACACAACCTCCTCATATTTTCATATTGCTTCATCTGTCATGGTAGCTCATTGAAATGTTGACATTTTCCTTCAGCATTATGACTTTCTTAGTGATGAAGAAAGCTTCTGAATCATATCTTAACCTTTAAACGACTAAAGACAACGTATGTCGTCGCAGATAGTAAAGGCAGCGGTACGAATGACGCCATGTGGTGTCGCAAAGTCCGCGCGTGCGGACGTTATTTGAAATACATTTTTAAGGTAGAAAATAATGTCCTACTTATATGATTTTTGGCCACCATCTGCATGGAGTGTCTGTCTTCCCACCTGCGTCATCTGCCGGAATGTTGCCTTCGTGTGGAATTCTCAAAAAAATCCGGAAATGCAGAGTCCGATTTCGCACTTCACGTACTTTGTCCTGACGG